ACATGAGTTCCACCAGAAGTTGTAGCAATTGAATTGACAAATGAGACTTGTTGGAAAGAACCATCGGAAACCGCGAACCCAACTTCCCATTTTGGATGACCTTTGGAATCCTCGACTATAACAGTGTTTGCGCTGGAATCATCAGAACCGCGTTCCTTATTGATTGCCTTGGCGTACATTTCGATGTACTTTTTGAAGTCAAGCTTGATTTGTGTTCCATTGAGGTAAACCTTGACGCCTTTGACAGTTCCAGCCATGTCGTACACTCGACGCTTTACCATAGCTTCAAAATCGTCGTCAATTCCCGTCATCTTAAATTTTGTCCAATCGGGGGTAAAGGTAACTCTGGTGAAGTCGGCATTCTTGCTAGATGAGATTCTCGCCTTGCCCATCTTGCTCATGTTGTCAGTCCAAGTTTGCTTGTACCTCTTACCGCTATTGGAATCTTGTGTTTCCAACGTGAACTCCGTACTGAAAATGTTACAAAGTTTTGCTCCGTAACCGTTACGACCACCAGTTGTTTTGGCTTCGTCATCATCGTAGTTGGAACCAGTTAGGAGATGTCCAAAGATCATCTCTGGAATGTAAATCTTCTCTTTCTACACAAGATGTCAGTACTTATAAACATTCTGAGGCGGGGCGTATTTGTGTGTTCATTCTAAAGAAAGAAGGGCATTGGGTCGAATCAACATCTCAAGGGGTTATGTGAGTGGTGAATGAAACATAGGTGTAATTATCATGGAAAAACATAGAGAAAATAAAGGGTGACTAAATGACTCACCTCGTGGATTTCAACGGGAATACCTCTACCATCGTTCTCAACACTAATTTCGCCCTTCTCACGATCCACGACTACTTTAATGTTCTTCATGTTGGCATCATTTTGTTTGTTATCTGCGGCATTGACCATGATCTCGTCAAAGATCTTGTAGAGACCGGGCACAAATGTAACCTTTCGCAGCTCCATCTCCTTATTCTCGGAATTGAATACCCACATAGTCTGCTCCGTCTTCTCAACGGAGCCAATATATGTGTCTGGACGCTTGATGATGTGCTCAAGTTGAGTGAGTTTCTGGTACTGTTCCGTTGAGGTTTTCGTCTTCTTAGGTTTAGGCTCTATTTCCAGTATACTTTCGTTCTCGACATCGTGCAGAGCTTCAGGTGCCTGTCTTTTGGCGGCTGGGGCTTTCTTCTGCTTCTTCGCATTTGGCGGGGTACTGGACAACTGCGACGCATCATTGGTTGAGTCATTATCTGATTGCTGGTCCTCATCGTCGCTCCCTGACCTCGCCCGCTTCTTGGGAGCCATATTGAGGGTGGTTTGTATGTTCTTTGTGGTTTTCGTAGCCTTGGTGGTTTTCGGGGCTTTGGTGTTTTTTGGCTCCTTGGTCACTTTGGCTTTCGCTTTTGGGGCTGCAGGTTTTTTTACAGTAGTCTTCGCTTTAGCTTTCTAAATTGTAAAGGTCAGTTTAATGTTGAAGATTGTGTTTGTCCGGCAGTGCATTTTGTGTAACTGAAAAGGTATTGGAACAACATACCACTGTGGGAGCAAAGTTATCAGACTCATCGTCCGACATATGGAAGCTTGGCACATCACTCATCGAGTCGTCGTCCATGATGAATTAAAGAGAGAAACAGATTGTTCCTCAAAATATGAAAAAAGTCCCGAGGTAAGAGAATGGTAGTACAATAAATAGAATACCTAATAACTAGACAAGCTTCTTCTAACTTTTTTCTAGAGAACAACTTGATCAAAAAAGTAAGCAAGAATCTGATCAAACAGTGAAGTTGAAGAAAGAGTGTATGACCAAAGGAAAACTTCCCCTTGATCTTTGTCGTTGTATGTGATCTTTGTGAATTTCAAAAAAGTAAATAAACATTGATAAATCGCGTCTCAATATGAGCTAGTACCAATATAGTAAGGCTTGCTGAAGGGTAGCTCTTAGTCTAACCATAAATAGACTAACCAATTATAAGCTCTAAATTCTTCCAATGATAAATTTACACTTTGTACAGATTACCTACTCTGAGTCTTACCTACCTGCAGAGTAGATATATCCCAACCCATACGATACAATTCCATATAACAGTGGGCCAATGGACCACTGGACCACCGATGGATTTACTTCGCCATGTTCGTCTGGTATTTTGATCTTTCTGCTGTTCTCAATATGCACTTGGCCTTTCGTCTGGATCCTTTCCTCTCTCTTCCTCCCATCACTCGCAAATATCTGGTGTCGTACAAAATAAAGTACTGTACACTGTGCTCTCTACTGTACTGGCTCTATCCATCTAACCGTTGCCCGGTATTGTAATGTTACAATAGATATCGCGAAAACCAAAAAAACTATCCGAAAAGTTTGATTCGTTGCTACAGTCCTTTGAAAGAAATCCCAGGCGAGAAGATAACGCGAGAGAGAGAGAGAGAGGCTCAGTGCACGCACACAGAGAAAAGCGAGCGAGCGACAAAGAAACTGTAGAGGTACAGTACAGCATCTTCTTTCATGATTCGTATTACTCAATTAAAACTTTGACATCGGAAGACTCACCTCTTGCGTTACTTCGAACAGGAATTTCACGTTGAGAAAGATGTTTCCGATGCGAATAATGCATGCTGCCGACATCTTCCTCCCGTTGCGTTATACCAATTCCTTAAAATGGATCTGGTGTATCAAGGTTTATTGTACCCACGCGTTCTCCACGATCTGAAACTCCAACGGCTGTCAGAAGATCATCCGGTATAGCTTGGGAAGCAGGACCTTACAGGTAGGACTGACCCTCAATAGCGGAGTGCATCGTATCGTATAGTAGGGTAGCTGGGTATTGGCTCTATTTCTATTTTGCTTAATGCTATAATGGTCAAGGGATATCGCTTGCAAATCGGGGAAAATGGCATGTAAGACGGTTCTGACCCGAAAGATGTGTTTGATTTTCGATTCAAATCCTCAATAAAGCCAGGTAAATTCTGAAACCGAAGGCCCGAAGGAAATAAAATGAGGGAGAAGCGATTTGGTCTCACAAAGTGCATCGAAGTAAATGTGTCCCTGCCTTCTTCTTTCATTGCATGAAGATCTCGTCGAGTCTCTTCCAGGGGCTGTGGGCATTACAAGTAGGCGTAATGACTTGCATAAGGCGCATGTTGTCCTATCGTTTTTTCTCATTAAACTTACCCTTCTTCTTCGTTTGTCCAGGTGCATTGGCGACAACGTGGTTGGCCTATGGCAAGGCGTTTTACGACAAGGTCGACGGGTGGCTGCACCTTTCATCCAATTTGGGTCACCCGCACTGACATTGTCTTAGCAACTGCGACTCGAGGGTGTATGGGTATGGTAGCATCTCAGAAATTGCTCATTGAATAAGGCTAGCTACCATGCTGCGAGGATCAGACATCAGTTTCTTTGTCGCCAAATCCTGGCTTTCGTGTTTGTTTTGCATCTTTCTGCTTTCTCTCTCTAGCTTGCTACATGCCATCACATCTATTGAGGTAGAAATTTCCACAAATGCCAGCCTGGTTGCCATGTCTTTATGACGTGCACACTAATGACCATTTCCATCACCAAGTTGGAGCAGGAGAGCAGCCAAACACGCATTCCGGCTTTACGCTTACCTGCATATTCCCGTAGACTTTACCATGCTTTTCAAGTGACAGCTGCAGTACTAGTCCTCGCATTAGTTGTGTGATCAGAGTATTTTTTCTCATTTAATTCTCGAAGGCCCGTAGAAGAAGTTCCTAGGAGAAAGGGTGAAATTTGCTTTGATGTGATAATAGCGGATGGGGACATGATGTTTATTTAAAGCATCCCTAACGAGGTGTTTCTCAATGATTCTGAGAAGTGATAGTGATGGATGGTATCCACTTTTCAAATTCAGATTTTGATACTCATGAAATTGATGTGTTAATTCTCTAGCATCTCTACTTTCCGACAGAGACACAGATAGAAGATGTGTTGTCCACGTGCATCGAGTCAAGCAATCTTGCTTTAGATAGTGCCGCTTATGGTGGATGGATTTCTTTGTCTATCTACGAAATTGTGGCTTTCACTTACTGTAAATCATCCGCAAGTACTGCGGGCACCCGGCCCAAGACATCTCGGCCAGCAGATACGTCCAGCAACCTTTTTGCTATCCACATTCAAACAAGCCATGTTCCCGATCGGGCTGTAGCACAATATTTGTTGTTGTCAAACTTAATTGATCAGCCTGGCTTGCCACCCCTGTGCAGTCACGCAGCCGAATTGATGGTACTGAAGTCGGTAAATATTGCTTTTTTCTTAGTGTAGTGAAACGTCTTGCCTCGATATGCTCTGCAATCCATATGCGGGATGCTTGGTGGCCGTGTTGGCTTTTTATGTTGACGGGCACGGGAGCGGCGAATCTGAATAGAAGCTTCTTAAATGTCGTTTGGATTTATGGTCTCGTTATCTCGGCCTTTGTCAATTCAAGGAAAGTCCCACACCTTGAAGCTGTAGAAAATTGATAGAAATCATTTCCTTCGCCTTGTTGGAATCCCAAGTAGGCCATCCCTGCCCAACTTACCCCGGAGTCTGCAATTGCTAAGTGGATGCCTCTTATTTTCGAGCTTTGGAAGAGCGGTGGGCACCAACAAACGGACGATTGATATTCTACTGGTTGATTCTCAGACAACTGCCAACAAAGACTGCCTCCAGTTCGAGAATACCGATTTGATCCAAAGACATACATCCTTGGACTGCAGGAACTGCATCGCTAGTTGACACCGACGAAAGTGAAGCCGTTGAAGCTCGTTCATTATTCTGCTTCAAATCTCTTCATAAGGATCCAAGAACAGTCCATTACTGTTTTCCTGTTTGCCAGATTCAAACACTAATTTTTTCCATTTACTGTACCGAGAAAATTTGGACATTACCTAGCCCTCGTTTCTTTTAGAGAATTCGTTCGCTTTCGAAAAAAGAGGCATTCAGCCTGCAGATTTAGAGGAAACAAGATTCTGTTGAACTCATTTCCACCACTCACCGCCCACTATGCTCTCCGTAGCATCGCTACTCAATCCTGCTAAGTCAGAACCGCGAAGCACTCGAATATCATCAAGTCCTCCGTCGTCGCTTTGTACCTCATCGCCCTCTTATGGGCATACCCTATTACCCATTCAATCCTCGTCCATCAAGAAACAAAAGATGGCTAAGGACGGCGCAGTTTTCGCCAAGGGTACTAAGATTAAGGGCGATGTAAATTTTCCACCGTTTGAAAATCTGAGCGAGGAGACTATGCGAGAAGTCTCAAAATTCCAAGTGTATCCACTTGGCAAGATTCAAGATTATTGCCGCCATATCCCTTATAATAGCGAGAAAAAGAACTTCTTGGAAAAGACTGGTCGAGAGAGCTTCGAAGGTATGCTTCTGTCTATGCAAAGCTGACTCTCTTTCCGATAAGCTTACCAGAGTTGACTTTTTGCTTGCAGTATTTCAGTACACATTTAAACTCCCTGGTGAGGATAGAGTGTACACTGTTATGTGGGACTATAATGTTGGGCTCGTTCGCATCACTCCTTTTTTTAAGTGCTGTAAATATTCCAAGGTAAGCAAGCTTCATTCATCAGGCTGCGTGTACTCAAGATTGCTAATTTCATCTAATCATCTACAGACAACTCCGGCCAAGATGCTCGGAATGAACCCAGGCCTAAAGGAAATCACGCACAGCATCACTGGTGGCGCTTTGGCAGCCCAAGGTACGTTCTTATCGTTTCTCATCTTATATGAAGAAGCAGTGCCAAATGCATTGTTTTATTTCTTTCTTTCGAACATTCTAAAATTCTTCTATTGTTATTACAATGCAACAATAAAACCCAGTTGAGACCCCGATACTGATTGCGTTGCAGGTTACTGGATGCCATATTCTTGCGCTCTCGCCGTTTGCACCACCTTTTGCTCCCACATTGCTCCAGCCTTGATTCCCATCTTTGGTCCCTCCTTCCCATCTCAGTGCGTTTCACCCGACGCTCCAGAACACGGCCGTATGGTTATCGACCCCAATATAATCCGTGCCGCCACCGCGGAAGCCGAATCTTATCGTCTCCACTACACATCCTTCACCCCCAAATCTTCCACTAACGTTACACCTCGCGATTCCGCCAGCCCCCAACAGCAAAGCTCTAATTATCTCATTCGCACAAACACTATGACGCCCCCAACAAGTTCAAGCAGTCATCTCGAACGAAGACTGAGACTCAAAAGAACGTATGGCGGCGAGAGTCCTTATGCGGAGAGCAGTACTGATCATGATGCTGCGAGCGAGACATCAAGTGGTGATGCTGCATACTTTTGTTCGCCAGTAACTCCTACATCCGGTCTCGCGGGTGCGAATTGGGGCATTCACGCCAGATCGTATCTTCCTAACGGTCCTTCACATTCCTTGTCAAATGCGATGAACCATCATCAGCATCAGAACATCAATTCCCATTCCGCTAATGCCGGGATTAACATCTCCGGGATGGGGATGGGAATGGGGATGGGTGGTCATGGTCTGGGGCACAATCAAGGTCTTCATTATGGTCATACTCATAATCATAAATTGATGAACCCTCACATGAGTGTGAACGGTGCTATGGTCATTGGACACAGCGGTACAAACCCATGGTTAAGTGCCATTCCGCGGAGTATAGGCGGACTTGCCGACATGACAGCTAGCTGGAGAGCCAAGCGACGCGCGGAAGAACTAGATGAAAATATCTCTGATCAAAGAGAACGAGAACGAGAACGAGATATCCACCGTCCTCATCCCACAGACGAAGAATACGATGGTGAAGAAAGCGCAAGTGCTACTGGTGATGAAAAGAGTCCTATCGGCGACGATCGAACTATTACCTTTGGTCCTCGCGCGCCTGCAACAAGCATTGTGCAAAACCATCAGCGCACCACAATGGCGAGAGAAGAAATCTCGGGAGATAACATCACAAATGCAGCTGGTGATGAAAAGAAGGCAGCTTGGCTCTTGATGAAACTTAGTGTTAAGGATGGTGAAGCAGGTGCTGCATTACCTTCTTTACCGAGTGTATCTGCAGTAGGCACACCGTTGATGGGGAGTGCGAAGTGGATTAAAGAGGGGGGGGATAGTGATGAGCCGCGGGTTAAGAGAAGGAGAGCGCTTAGTATGTGAGAATGCGGCTCTCCAAGGTGCTTGCTCAAGGTTCATCTTCAACTTTGTGTTGGATGGGTTGAGCGGGGATGGGTACCATCGAGTGGGTGGTTCATACATGAGCATCTGTCGTCCGGTTTGATCAGATCGGAATAGTTTTGCTCGAAGCATTTTCTTTTCTTTTCTCTTTCTCCTGCGTGCATACATGGTTTGCGCATCTTGTTTGTTTGTTTGTTTTTTATCTCAAATGTTTCATGGTTCATTTCATTTTCGGAAAAGGTTGCGTGGGTACGGGGGAGGAGTAGTAGAGGAAAATATTAGAGGAGGTATGAGGATTAGAGTAGAGAGAAACTGGTTTGGCTAGTCTGGCTGAGTTGGTGTGGCTGAAGTGATTGAATAAGTGGATGCAGGTGGTTGATAGAGTGGAGTCGAAAAGAGGCTCAAGGGCGGAGAGAAAGAAGGTTGTTCATATCTAGGGTAGCAGGTTTGCATTGTATGTACTTATATGTTGTGGGATTGATGCATTTAAATTGCTATGTATTTTGATATCTATGGTTGCTTCTCTTATGACAACTGAAAATTGTGAGGATCGTGATTATTGACATGTACGATATGCTGTGTCATCGTGGCGGTGTATTCTTTACATGTGAGCTCAAGAGATATATATAGTTCTGTCAAAATTCACACTCACACAATATGAGATATATCAAGAAAATATAAGGAGCCTTTTTTGAAGTTTACTCGAGGATATCATTTATTTTGCTACTACATTCTTCCTTTTCCATTCTTCTATCCATCCTGCTGCTTTCTGCTTCGGCACAACATAAATGCTCACAACACCATCTACCACTTCTCCACCATTTAAGACCTTCAATAGTGTAACCTTTCTGCCCACCTTAATCAAAGAACCCTTTTTCTTTTCCACGTAGCACTCCACCACCTTTTCGTCTCTATATTCCGCTTTAACATCCCATGGAAGTGGTAATATGTATTCCAGATGTTGTCCCACAGTGTCCATCTCATTAAACGACTTGATAAAATCCGATTCTGCTGCAAGAGGGTATAATAGAAGAGCTGGGAAGGATAAAGTCGAATTGATCGGATCCAATGGATCGGGCACTAATTCGATCTTCGCATCCTCCATTTCTGGTGGCTTATCCGTCATCCGTAGAGTGATCTCCCTCGCCGCCAACGATGTTTTTAATATCTTCTCTATGTTCTTCTCCCTCACTAGCCGTTCAACCTCCTTCTTCCTCTTCGCCTCGATCTCCTCATTCTTCTTCATAATTTCTCCGGCTAAAGCCAACAGCGCTTTGTCATCCGCAGCTAACTCCAACCCCCTCGCACACGCATTATCCGCTTCCTTTACCCTTCCTAAAGCCAGTAGAGCTTTCGCACTTCGATAAAACGCCTTGGTGTTTTTATTATTGATCCTCAACACCGCTCCACAATCAAACACACAACTCCTATAATTCTTGAGTCCCAAATGCGCCATTGCCCTATTCACAAGCAACACCTCAAGTATCTTAACCTCCTCCACAATCTCATCCTCCTTCTCTTCCGGCACATCTCCCGATCTTTTCTCCCCTCTCTGTCTCCTCCTCACCTCAGCCAACAAAATATTCACACCCTTCGTATAAAACTCTTTTGCATCTGCTAATCTCTTCTCCTTGAAACTGTCATTTCCCTGCTCCTTAAAATTGGAAGCGATTTCTAACGGTGTACCTTCATAGGCCAATGCCTTGAAAGCTTCTAGTTCGTCGTTATCTTCGAGTTCGGTCATGAACAGGGGAGTGGAGTTCAGAGAAGCGAGAATTTCGGGACCGGATTTATCGCGGAGAGAGGCGAGGGAAGGGGGGAGAGAGGGAGTGGTGGAGGAGGGGTCAGAGTTGGAAGGTGCAAAGCCGGGGAAGGCGGAGGACATGGCTTGCGCGAGGAGATCAAAGTCCTGACCTGGTGCCGGGGCGGGCGCAGATGTAGGCGCATCATCGGAGAGTTCTTCAATTTTCATTTTGAGAGTTGGGTGATTGATATGAGGTTTAGGAATTAGAAGGGTGGTGGAACTTGGGAAGAAAAAAATTGGAGGGGAAATTCATGGGACTTTCTTATCAGAAAATTGTGGGGTAAGCACATGGCGATAAGTACGTTTGCCGAAATGGAAGAATAATGAGACATGTGGGGCGGATCATAGAATTCATGTGTGCACATCAGTTGTATCAATCGTTTCAATCTCACATGTACAATGGTTCGCAAAACTGGTTCGCACAATCGTTTCATCCGAACTTTTGTCAAAGATGGGACGATGGGATAATGAAACGATGAGAACGCCACCCTTAGTCAAATATGACATATGAAGGAAAAAGCGGAACTTTTTTTTTCTTGGTTTACAACGTGTGTGAACATATCGTTACTTGAATGAGATACCTCGTTTGTACCCTCATTCTAATCTGGGACAGAGGAACCTTCAGTAGTTACAAGAACTTTCCATGGTGTAACATCCTGCTGCTACACTCATGGACAGCAGGCCAAATCTTCACATAGACTTCCGCAAACCATCTGACATTTCTCGTCCGCACCTGTGCCATTTATGATTACCCCGTTTGATGCTTCAGCTTGTAGCGTTACACTGTGGATACCATACGCGTGCAAACATTCCCTAATAAGCTTGGCTTGCTTCATGAATGTTTTCAGATCCGTCTCAATCGTAACAATATGGGCTGAAGCGACTGTCTTCCTCTGGCATAAACTCCATATATGTAGTTCATGAACAGATAGGATGCCTGCAATGTTTTCGATATCATGCTTGACATTGTTGATGTTTATGCCAGATGGAACTGATTGTAACATTATTGCACCGGCATTCTTGACTATCAAACTAGTCAGTAATGTATACGTTGTTGAAAAGGTCAGTACAAGGGCACCATACTTATTGGGAGAGAGGAGAAGATTAGCATTAATGATATACCCATGCTCACGCCTGGATCTGCATAAAACCTTCCCTCATATTTGGTGCGCCAAATAACCAATGCGGCTATGATTACTCCTATGTTATTTACTGCATCCATAATAACATGGAGCATTACCGCAAGGTGCGCTAAGTCTCTAGGCTCGCTTCGGCTGTTTGACGGTTGAACCATATGGCAATGACCCTTGTGACGATCTTCTCTGAGATTCCTTGAAGTGTTCAAACTAGATGTGCTCACCGTAGTGGCACATAGCGTGTCAGAGCTCATTTGTTCAATGTCGACGGTGCTTGGAATGGGTCTTTCACCATGACTATGATGATGTCCGTGATGATGCCCATGGTGATCATGGTCTTGATAGAGTTAGCTGAGAGCCATATCCTTCTAGGACTTTCACATACCGTGTAGGAAGATAGCACTGATAATGTTTAGAGTGAGCCCGGCACAGCCAATGATGAGCATTAATTGAGGATTTTTGACTTCTAGAGAAGAAAATATTTAGCTTTGAAAGTCCGAGTGCTGGTAGATTCGTACTCTCTAGATACACGAAGCGATCAATAGATTGCAGCGCTATGCTAACGCCTAGAGCAAGCAAGAAACAACCATTGAAGAAAGCACCTAATAATTCTGCGCGTTGCCAGCCGTAGGAGAGGGAGTCGGGTGAGTCAGAACGTTGAGATACCTGCGGCACATCGTCAATCTTCGGTTCGAAAGCGAGAAGATAGTCAACAGATCACTCACCCTCAAGGCAGCCAAAGCGACCATGAAGCCGATCAAATCATTCAGCTGAGTAGTTCTGTCAGATGAAGTCCCACAAGAACGGAGTTGAAAGAACATCAAACGTAGGCGAAAGGAAGAGCAAACAGTTTGCTAGACGATCGGGAAGAACATACATAGTGAAAGGCATCCGCTACCAGTGCAAGGGACTTCGTATAGAAACCAACTAAAGTCACACGATTTAGCTTCCGCTGTCGAAAGCGAGATGAATATTCATGTTGACATACTTGATAACTCGGCCAGAAAAAACGACGTTGATATGCAGATCACCACGGTCAATCTTTGAGCTTTGGATAACGCCATTCTTTCCAAACGAAACTTCTGAATTTGAAAATAATATTTTCAAAATCGAGGCAGATGGTTGAGTCAAAAAGCAAATCAGATATGCAGTGAGCTGTCAAATAATTCTCCGAAGCGTTGAAATTTTCTGTACCCGTCCCTCATAATAACTTCATACATTCGTGACGACACATAACCTTCACAGCAAGCACCTAGGCATGGGTAGTTACACTTGAAAACCCCCACAACGACGCAGAGAAGGACGAGAAAGGCATTTGATCATGTAACGATGTATCGCTGCCATCACACGGCTAACGGGAAATTGCATTGACGGCTCTGTGCTATCTGGTTCTTGGAAACTTGTCTGGATAACATGGCACCGGGCTTTATCTGGTCTGATGTAGGTACCAGTTAATGAGGGACAAAACATGTGTGTGTATTTGAATTGGGAAATCAAGCTCTATAGAATGCTTGGTAAAGAGGGGAAATTAATGAAAAGTTGACAGTAGCTGGATAGGTAACCGCCAGACGGCAACTTAGTAACCGTCGGGAGTTGCCATTGTAATACCTGATATCATATCCACCGAGTTGATGAGATACATAGGTACATGAGATTCCTAATAATATTGATTTGTGGTTGTTTTCGTTGAGATTTGAACAACGTTAATAAGTGATGGAAGTAAGATGTTTTGCAAAGTTCAACCTGCACGAAGTATGATGTTTTGATTAGGTATGACGGGATTACTAATACAGCAAAATCTCTCTATGAGGATCCTGTATAAGGACAACTTCTCTATATTAAGGAAATATTTTTGGGTCCCAAGACTTTTCAGAATTCGAAATGATTCGTTTCCTCAAAACACCTTTATAAGGATATCCTTATGTTTTGAGATTCCAAGATCATGTATATTCTTATTGGATAGATAGAAGTATTGGGACTTGGATTATTATTTGATACTAATGAAACCTTGGTTGATCTGTATCAAAGTAGAAAATAGTACAGAAACGTTACTCGATGGGATTCATTTGAATTAGATGATCATTGGGTCAGAATTAGTTGAATATCTTTATATTATGATACACCCCTATGTTATACTTAGGAAATACCACAAACCAGTACCTACCTATCCTTATAGAGGGGTTTTGCTGTAGACCTCCCTTCCCGAGCCTCCTCTCATGAGTTATTGATACCCCTTCATTATTACGGTGACCTGCTCGGGGGCTCGGTACTTTCAGCACTGCTACCCTGGTCTTCTTTGGCATCCGTAATTATCCCGTCATTCGCAAGCTTAGAAATCCAATTGCGCAACTTGGCCCAGTATTGACAGAATGAGGGGGATTTATGAACCCCCCCCTACTTGATCTCGAATCAAATTGCACTATTTCTTTAAATCTTATCAAAGAGAGACTGCGGAACATAACATGTCCGAAGAATCTGAGAAGAAAGAGTGGCATATAAAAGGTTCGTATCTCCCAGTCTCATCACCATTTTGTTCTTCCAAACAATCATCCCACCCTCACACTTTCGATAGGATCTTTAGACGCAGAATTAGTCGTGACCCCAGCCCTTCCACCTGACTTTCATATCAGCCTTCACACACACGATACACCAGACGGAGAATCAACGATTGTCGAACTTAAAATGGGTTCTCATCCTGCTCCAAAGATTATCTTGTATACTTCCTATGCATGTCCTTGGGCCCATCGCTCTCAGATAGCTCTTGCTGAGCTCGGGCTGGAATTTGAAACTGTCATTATCGATCTTAAGGTTCCACGTACACCAGAGTATTTGGCCATCAATCCCCGGGGTCTCGTGCCTGCTCTCTCCTATAATGGAGAAATCATCACCGAATCTGGAGTGATTTCTCAATTTTTGGTAGACTCTCATCCTTCCCACTTGGAGAAGACCAGCCGTGAGGAAGGAGGTGCATTGCAACGTGCCAGATACAACTTCTTCATTGAAACCTACTTCTCGAAGGTTGCCCCACATGTTATGAAAGCCGGGGTAGCGAAATCATTGGAAGAAAGAGAACAAGCTGCCTCCAATACTATAGATGCGATTGTGAAGGAGATAGAGCCTTTAGTTCAGAACGCAGCCCCGTTCTTTGGAGGCTCAGAGAAACTGACATTTGTGGAAGTGAGTACCAATATCTCTGGCAATGTCACTAGATACTAATGAATCCCTTAGGTTCAAGTTGGGTCATTTCTGCTCCGACTTTTAGCTTTCTCCAAATATGATGGCTTGCTTCCCAAGAGCCTTTTGACTTTAGAAGAAAAAGCTCCGGCCTTCTGGAGATGGGCGAATGCCATAAGCAAGGAGAAGAGCGTCACTTACATTTGGGATGAGGAAGGCACAGCAAAGAGAATGCTTGAACGATATGAGAAGATTAGAGCAGCTTGACTAGAGAAGCCAAATTTATGACGGAACCATCATGAGATGAATGAAATAAGAATCCAGCGGTTTGGGCACAGCAATGAGGGTAATGACGGCGTTGATATAGTAACAATTCAATCTTTTAAGATATGCCAAGAAACATCAGTCTACAAGCCTAAACCATTCCCATAACACTTGTCCTCATGATGATGTCAATTTATGCATCAGTGTTTCGTCCCTGCATTGTCAGCACCAGTCGGGGATTTTGCCCCTAAGAAACATTCAAACATTTGGTTACTAGCATGTCTTAGAAAATGATGAGTAATGTCTCGTGGGAGCAGTTCTTCATTCTGCGACTATCACAAGGCCGCCTAGAAATTCGATAGAATTCGAACGGGACCATACCTCAGCCTCCTTTTGCCAAGGGGTGGGCGGATGTTTATGTTGTACAAATACTGGTACAATATCTAGGTAGGTAGGTAGCTTATCTTGTGCTGACAATCGTGCAATAGTGCAATAGCTGTATCTTGTGCTTTGTTGCCGAGAGATAATGTATCAAAGAGCAATCGTATGACGAGTGAGAGAAACATTAATAATGTTTGTTTTATGTGATAAATAAAACACACTTATCGTGTAATTGAGCTCCAAGATTACGATGCCTACTACACACCGTACTAGGTAATCTTGGTGAGGGAGCCACGTGCCAGTGAGGATAAACTCTTCCTTTTCTAGAGACTAGAGAGTAATCTCCCTACCGACCTACCTACCTAGGTAGGTAAAGTAAGACTTATTACTAAATCATTCATCAGCCCTACCCGACTACCATTTAAAGCCGTTCTTGAACATCCTGTTGATCTTTCCAGATTCGAATTTGATAGAGAATTGAGGGATACCGGTACGAGTAGGTAATGAGAGAATGAGAGAATGAGGCTCGGCCATGATTAATAATTGCCAGCACGAGATCATGCAAAACAAACTGGATTTTCCACTTGGCAAAAGCTTTGGGATTGTACCTGCCCTGCCCAGAGGATATACGACATGAAAACCGACATACAATCGCATAACTACTACGTACCTACCTATTTAGGTGAACTCGATGATTTCCAAAGGTACTCGAATATTGTGGGTGAAGTTAAAGATATCAATAAAGATATCAACTCAGAAAAGTCTCTCAATCAATGAAATTCTTCGATATCAGGATGCAGATCTAACAACCCAACGATTCGTGTTTTGATAGAACTACCGGTACCTGCTAGATAAGTACTCCATCAGTACAGTCTCTATTGAGTCTCTACTGTCTGGTGGTCCTTATGGATGCGGTTGGTATCGATTGCTGCTGCTGTAACAATTACCAAGCGAACAATGCACAGCCCCAGTGAGCCCCTCATAGCAATCGTGATAGCCTAATAAACTCATTCATTACCTGCCTCGCCTGCACAATAATCAATCAAATGATCGCCGCCTCACTTCAATCTCTCAAACTGCCAATTCTCAAAACTCACTGGCGACATACTTCTTTGATTTCGACACTTTCGGTTCAGACATCTTCCTTGATTTAATATATGCGAAAGTCTCAAGTGAATAAATATAATTCCACTACTCACTTCTCACTCAACAGCGAAGACGAAGACCCACCTACCTCGTCAACCAAGCAAGGCCGTTCATTCAGTCATCTGGGCCAATTCCACCTACCCCACGGAGTTTCTACAAATCTATTAGAACCACATCCAGCAACCACCAACACTTTACAACATCCTCTCTCTACTTGCGATTCTCAAATTTCAGAACTTCTTCCGCACAACGATACATTCAACCAAAGGTATGTCGGCCAAACATCCAGGCTACCATAAGGAGGCGCGGAGTTGTTCTCCTTGACTGCTTGAAGCCAAATCGCTGACATCAGTACGTCCATTCAGCAACCAATACTCGGACTTTCAGAACTTTCCTCAAGAGCCGCGCTCTTACTTGCGCCAGATCCGAAAATCCACAGACAGTCCGAATCAATATCTTGGATATTTAGAAGATGGGTAAATCGTGAGTACCACATTTCTCTTTACGCTCCCGAGACTTTCCAGCGCAACTTGCACAACATGAATACCGCCAAAAGCCACGAGGCCAATGCACCGATCTCATGAGTGTGCACCGCATTTCCGGAAGTCGTTACAAAGTCCGAGTCTTATCGCTCGATGAATATACAAAATCAGCAACTTCAAAGTCCAGCATAAAGCGATTCGGTGAGGTGTACGATGGACGAGGAGAATATCAATCACCATGACGTCGAATTAAGCGCAAATGGCTGAATCGCTTGCATCTACTTGATTAAGGAACATGCGGGATATTTCATACAATCTGGATGGCGCACTGGCAGATAGACTGACTTGTTAAACCTAGTCAATCGAAGCTCTCCGCGGAGCAAATCACCGAACTCCAGAAATCTACTCACTTCGATAAGAAGGAATTGCAACAATGGTATAAAGGTGTGCAAAAAACGTAGTCGGTCTCATTGAATGGCCACCTAATAATGTGGTCTTTCTAGGTTTCTTGAAGGACTGCCCATCTGGGATGCTCACTAAGGAGGAATTCCAAAAGATCTACCGACAATTCTTTCCATTCGGAGACCCATCATCCTTTGCGGACTACGTGTTCAATGTCTTCGACAGCGACAAGTCAGGTTCAATTGATTTCAAAGAGTTTATTTGCGCCCTCAGTGTGACCAGTCGAGGAAAGATGGAGGACAAATTAGATTGGGCATTCCAGCTCTATGACATTGATGGAGATGGAAAGATAAGTTATGAAGAGATGTTAGCGATTGTAGAGGCAATTTACAAAATGGTGAGTACCTCTCAACTCCTACCCTTATGGTCACGTGGGCATACTTGAAGTTTCTATTTGCATTGGGCATGGAGCAGTAGTATTTTGCGAATTTTGCAAGATTTGTCGAGTAAGATGCTCTGGCAATGATGCTCCTCGTGAGCTGGAATTTCATCCACTACCTCGCCGTTCGGATGATTTTCCTACTTTGATAGAAGCCCATTTCGAGTATCTTTGTCTCTTACGTCACTTTGAAATGTGCAAGTACTGATTAGCACTTCTGTAGGTTGGCTCAATGGTCAAACTTCCACCTGATGAGGATACCCCTGAAAAGCGGGTCAAGAAGATCTTCCGTATGATGGACAAGGATGAGAATGGCAGTCTGGACATGGAAGAATTCAAAGAAGGAAGTAAACGTGATGAGACGATTGTATCTGCACTTTCGCTCTACGATGGCCTCGTCTAATGGATTTTCATGGAGGGATCTCTTTTCGGTGCTGAAGGTGCAAAGGGGTGTCAAGAAATTAGATATTTGAAAGAAGTTTGGGTGGTCTTCTAGATCTCCCCTCTTCTTTGTACTTTGGATCATTTGTACCTTCATCATCATTCGCCAATCATTTGGGCGGTTCATGTTTTTGGAAGGAAATGTTTGTTGGTAGTTTAAGCGTTGCGTATGGTACCGGGAAGTTATCTCCTGGATTGGATCCCTAGGATGGATCAATTGATTAACCACATATACCGGTATAGAATAAAAACTCCTGATGTACCCATTTTCTGTGAAACGCTTTGTGATGTACGTGGATTTGGTATTGGTTGGCTATTCTCCCTCCTACGTGATGCGACGAGAAGACACTGGTTACAGTGATTACGGCTGGCTCTGTCTCGAATATAGATATTCAAGAGGTGATAAAGCTCATATGTGACGTACTTGAAGACCAGTCTTGAGCTGGGGGCTTAATTGTCAGTTCACTCGGCTTTGTTGGGGTTCTCTTTTGGTAAAATTGACAGTATGCTTCAGATCTCAAAAACTTCACGTCGGTTCGAATTCACGGCCAACGCGAGCCGTAGTGAAAAATTCACTTCACCTTCTCGTCTAAAGTTCACTTGCTACCATTGATTTCTACATTCGGTATTGAATAGCCTTGCGATAACTGACTTGCTTGGTTTTAAAAAAAAATCTTACAGTAAAGAGACTCAGTTCTCGACATATCAACTACACACACAAAAGCGCGCCATCAGCAATTTCACTTATAGCTTCATCAACGTTTATCAAATTAAATTATAAACAAAACAACAACCTTCATCTCAAGCAAAAGAGCAAATAATCGCCACCAACAATGTCGCTATCCAAACCCTCCATACCCTTTCAACGATGTCCAGCAAATTGCAGAGGCTGTGCGACATTTGCAGCTCTCGGCGGCGGATACTTTCCTCCTCAAACGCCTGGCGGACCATTGTACCAATGTTATGAATATGCTTTGGCGGCGGGTATTATAGACGGACCTTGTTCGAGCACGATTGAGAATGAGGATCTAGTACCTGCTCCATTGGCCGTACCTGCTAAGTCGGCGAGACGTCCTACGGGCAAGCCGATTGCTCCTTCTGCTTTCACTTCTCCTCCTCCTTTGCTCCCTTTTCCTGTGGAAGTGAGCAAGGAAACAAGAAGGAAAATGGAGGCAATAGCAGCCGGTCCATATACATTTGAAGAGAAAGTAGAGTTGATGACTTTTGAGGCAACCAAAGATCCGCAGTCCGCTGCATATATGGTGAACTATGCAAGAACGCACCAGAGTGATTCCTCCGCAGGATCGACGATGTCACAATTTGAGAAAGACGCTATCTTTGCTTCCTCTTTATCTAATATGGGTGTCTATGAAGAGAAAAATGCGACTTATCCTCTTGGTCATAGTTACTTACCACCCGGTGTGGTTCCGCTTCCTAGTGATCTTCTGTTTACGATCACGACGTGTGGAGAACGATGCGCGACGAGTTTTGTTGGGATGTATGCGATGCGGATGCGAGATGCGTTTCAAGCTTCTGGCGTCGATATGCGGGCTCATGAGGTGAAAGGGGAGTGGGAGAAGACAGGGGCGAAGCGATGGTTGTATAGTTTGGGGATGGACAAGGATAAGGAAAAGGTGAACAAGATTCTAAGGAAGGGGAAAGATGTGGTCATGGCGCAGGAGAAGAGAGGGGTTAGTACGTTCAAGTTGTTGAGGGAATATGAGAATTTACGCAAGGATATGGAGAGTGAGATAGAGAATGCGTTTCGGGATATAGAGAAGGCGGTTGGAGATTCTCAGGAAGCGGAGTGCGGTCTCGAGTCATCGGAGCCTCACTTACTGCCTGACAAGATTGTGCGAAGAGCGGTTGAGAAAGTTGTAAGAGAACACTTCGATCCTATTGATTGGCAGGGTCCGGACCGGGATTGGCTAGGAGCTGATGTTAGCATTTCCACCCTACCACCACGACAGCGACCATTGCAGAGTTGTGGCATGGACGGACTCGTGAGCGATGACCCGGACGACGAATCTGCATGCACCAGTTTTGTTCAATTGAAGCGTACGAAGCCAATGGATTTTAAATGGTACCATAGGAGCAACGAATTCGACAAACCGAAATACGAATGGCCTCAGCAATTGAGATGTATCATGAGCAATGGAACAATCCGCGAGCGTTCGATGGGTCCGTTCTATAACGAAATATCTGATAGACTCTCTATGTTAAAGGAGCATTCTATAAAGCAGAACATTGCTGCAGCTAACACGCTGCACGTTGTGAATTCATCGTGGCAATTCATGGCGATCGGGATGGATATCTGTGATTGGTATTGGGACGAAGAAAAACGCATACTGGTAAAAGGATACAGCGGAGACGATGACTACAAGAAAGATTGTGATAGGATTGACCGAGAGTTGAATAACTGGGCAGCGGTTATCATAGAAGGGATGGAGACTCCAATCGACTCTGATAATCTTTCCAAGAAGGAACTTCGATATGCTACGATTGGGAGGCATTTATTGCGACAATGGAAACAAGGACCGGGAATCATGGTGTCCAAGACTCCTAGTGATAAAAAGATGGAAGGATCTCTTTTTGCTCCTCACACCACGGATAACGCTTCGCATATCAACTATCTCAATGCTCGTATTGCTGATGCAACCAAACATCGAGCTGAGATCGAAAGCAAATGGAATCACGAAACTGCGCCTCAAGATGTCTTTCAGGCTAGAAGAGATTTGCTTGCTCATATAGATGTGTTGGAGGATTTAAAAATCGAAATCGAAGCGCTCAATCGTCAGGAAGAGACAGGACAGAGCCCCATTTTCAAAGACAAAAAGACGAGAAGAGAGTTGAGTTTGTGGGAGAGGGAACGTTCAGAAGAGATGCGGTTGTGGGAAAGAAAGCCGGCAGGTGAAAATAAGGGACAAAGTTCGGGTGCTAAAGCAGAATGATCTGAAGAATGAAGTTAAGTGGAGGGAAGGGAAGGCATGATGTGGAGTTACGATTCTGCATAAATACTAGATTGGACATGGAGTCAGGAAAAGATATTTGGGTTATATGGACAGGAGCACTGATCAGCGGTCAATTTGGTTTGGTTTTTCCATTATCGAGGTTAGTTAAGTTGCATATGTCCATACGTGCTGGTATTAATGAATATGAATGTTTTATGAATATGGATGCTCGCTCTTCTTTTCTTGATGTTTTTTTCTGTCTAGTAGATGGATTGACTGTTTGCTCTAAGTATCTAGTATTGAATCAAACATACTTATCATAAGGTTTATAGTTGTCCACAGCGCAAAGTCTGCTATTACAAAAGAATGACAATATCTTCAAAGTATGCGTTTCTTCCTCTGATGTTCCTTCCAAGTGAAGTGAAGTTGTTGATCAAATGCAGCAGGCGGTGTGGCATGTTCGATCCGAGCCGTTTATGGAAAGGACCTTCGCTTAGGTAAGCTTATAACCTTATTTCTTAGTTCCCATATCATGTGCCACCGTGGACCTCGGAGAAGGATTTCCTCTTAATTAAACATCCTAAACACCACCAAAAGAGACATCCTTGACAACCCAAAACACAATGAATTGGTTTAAACAGACGTGTGCCTCTCCCTTAATTTGGTAAAATCACCTGCTAAAATTCACAGACTCGCAAATGTCGTGGGAACTGAGGAACCAGAGTATGGTTCTGCAGGTATTCGCACGGTAACAGCTCAAGCTGAGAAAACTCCCTACACCGAGTTGACGAAGACCGATTTGAAATGGAAGGCTCAAGAGAGTACAAATGTAGAGACTCAGACCTTCTATATGATCTCAGATGAGGGTAAAGTCGCATCTGTTCAGATGATTTACAACAATGTGGCGTATGTTTAACCCTTGCACTTATGAGATGCATCACGCGTTCAGGTAACATTACACTAACGCCGGGTGCAGCGGACTTCGAACAACTTGTCAACTGAACGTCAAAGTATTCAACCACAAAGGTCCAAAACAATCTGACCATCTCTGGCTTTCAGATGCACTCGAGAACTATGGTTTTGACGAAGAAATGGTTTCGTTCTACGCCGACGGTCTTTCCATCGCTTTGAACGAAGCTGGTGACGAATACACCATTAAAGCAGCTCGTAATGAGTCTGGACTTGTCAACCTTGTATTCAAGCGCGCAGCCCCTGGCTTCCAGGTGGGAGAGAATGGAACCACCTACTACGGTACTGATCCCGCTGCACCATGGGGAGAGATGAGACATCGATTCTGGCCTCGTTGCACCGTCACCGGTACAATCACCACACCCGAGAAGAACTACGACTTCAAAGGACGCGGAATTTTCATTCACGCCATTCAAGGCATGAAGCCTCACCATGCTGCAGCAAAATGGAATTTTGTAACTTTCCAAACACCTACCTACTCCGCTATCATGATGGAGTTCACAACTCCTGCTTCTTACGGCCACACCTCTGTGAATGTTGGAGGTATTGTAAAGGACGGCGAGATCGTATACGCCGGCGCTACCAACACTGTAAAGCATACTGAGTCGAAGGAAGACCCAGAGACCATGTGGCCCGAACCTATCTCAGCTGAGTATAAATGGGATGGCAAGAGCAAATCTGGTGAATTCTCTGCAGTTCTCAGTGGACCTCTCGGGGAAAGGACAGACAGAGTTGATATTCTATCCCACATTCCCAGCTTTATCAAATCGGTTGTTGGAGGAGTTGTGGGAACCAGACCTTTCTGTTACCAGGTAAGCTATCCGGCGGCGTTTTGATTTATGAATATTAACATTTTTGTAGTGGGCTATCCCTCCAACTGACTCCCTCGTCCTTAAGATTAAGGATGGCGAGACAGCTGTGGAGGAGCAAGGTACACTCTTTGGTGAATCAACCTTCATCTTGTAGAAGGAATACGAAGTATTCAGATTCCAGAGATTACGAATGGGGGCCTCATGATAATATAGAAGTTGGCCAATGCCCAAATTTATAGTTTTGAATATTGCGCATCAACATAACAATCGTTTACCTACTCCCGCTTTCGCACGAGGAGCCGCGAAGAAGGGCTTCTTATGGGTTCTTCTCTTACTTCCTTTCTCTACGGCTCGTTTCTACTGATTGAGAATGGTTTTAATTGGATGATTTTTTGAAAGGGGTATGAATGATATTGTAGGGCTGTTATGATTCGTTTTAGCTTAGAATATCATTACAGTCTCTTTGTACCTACTCTCATCTCATGATGTGATCTGATAGCACGACTCGCCTGCCGGGACATGGTATGGTATTACAAGCAACTATATGTGGATGAAAAAAGTGAGTGCAGGTTATGAGCTTGAACTTAAAGTTCATTTGAGTACCTCTCTCATCTCGTGTTCATGATTAGTTTTCAACTCAATGCTCACATCACAGTCTGGCACTCGACCAATTTACTTTGAAATTTTCGTAAAACAGTCTGACAACATGGAATATTCATACTCGTTTTAATTTTGAAATTTATTCAACTTTTCTTTTAACACTATCAAATATTCTATCGTAATCCAACGCATGGCTCGTCAGAGTAACCAACCACAGATCTTCAATTTCCCCAAAGCGCTCACTAGACACTCGCAGCAACCTCCTTCTCACTCCAAGTCTCCTCCTTAGGTATCCTTAACAATCTTCTTCACAGAAGACCTCTCCATCATTTTCGTATGCCACTTCCAGAAATGCGAAAAAAAATCCTTCTCCTTCTCCATCTCCATCTCCACTTCTCCCGCGCCAGCGCCAAAAGATCCACGGGTTCCCCGTGTCTCGGGGAAGAAAGAAACGCCACATCCGCATATGTAAGATTGATTATATTGGTTACCGACTCATCGTTCTTTTTCAGTCGGGATGTTTGTCTCATATGTATAAGACGTGTTTGATTTGGTTGAGATAGCTCGGTGGCGCTATTCGGTTTTTCGCTGTGGGGTTTGATACATTGGATGGGTTGGTTGGTTGGTTGGTGGTTGGAGGAGGGTGCTTGGTTGGATGTTTGGGGATGTGAAGATTGGTTTGGGTGGTGGTGTGTGGGGTAGGAGGGGTAGGGAAGGAGGGTGGAGGGGTCGTGGGTGTTGATGAGGTATTTCGTGATGGTGCTGGATTCCTAGAGGGTGAGGGAGGGGTTGGGGTTGAGGGATTTGCAGGGGGGGCTTGAGAGGTCGGTCATTGCTGAGAGGGGGGATGGGGCTCGATTAAAGGAGGGGTGAGGAGGTGAAGAGGTGAAGATTTGAAGAGGAGGGAAGATATGTTGTTACGAACCTAGGTATTCGGTGGTGTATGGGATCTTGAGTTCTTCTAGAATGATAGCTACCTTCGATGGGTTGGGCCGGTTACTATCTTGTTGTCAGTATTCTTTGCGGTCTTTGCATCTCAAGAGTTTCGACTTACTATGGCTGTAAAGAGTGATTGGTTAAGTCATATTGATGAATCGAGTTGATTTTTAGTATCTGATATATGAACAAGCTGTCTTGAATGAGATCTGACAAGAGAAAATAAGGAAAGCCCATTCTATCTATACAACCATGCCGTCGTAACCATTGTGATCTTATGTGGAGACCATCCTCTGGGGCGCCTCATCAAGCACCGACGAGCTCGGACGACGGGTAGTGACGAACCTTCCGTAGCCCCCGTTTCCAAGAAATTTAAAAGCCTCCGTTGAGGTCGGGAAGGTTTTCAGAGTTTCTGGTGGAAAACTTCGTGCTTGGTTACACGATCAAGATTTGGTCTCACCATCTGCGCTCTTACAAATCTTCGATACTTTCGTCGTGGGTCCATAGGTGTAAATGTAATTCATTGTTCTCTTTCCATCCAAATCGTTGTGAAATGCAAAATCCTTAGAAATCGTATGAAACCTCCGCATTAAGGGTCGACGATGTAGGTCTCTTGAGCAATGGGGAAAATGTACATAAGACTCTGATGGTCCGTTTCAGTGCAGTAAACTCACAATGAATGAAGAAATAAACCGGGTTGAGGGTTTCATTCTAAAACCATGCAGACTTCAGCATGTATTGCGGTTCGCTGTCATATTACATGTAGTGCCTTTCTAATGATCATTGATCAAGGCTTTCTGTAAATGAGTTTCCTCGTCGAATTTGTATTTGTAGGCAACTAGCCATCTTCTTCATATTCTATTGGAAATATCAAATGGTTGACAAGGCACTTGCCAGACTTATCAATACCTCCCCACTTGGTGTTGATGCTGCTGTTGACATTGACCTTGTGAAGAAGTTAGAATCCTGTAGCTGCAGAAGATTAGCCCTGCCATTAGTGGGTTTATGGACTGATAGAACACTACATAAGTTGATTTAGTAATATCTCTTAAACACTAACCCAGATATCTTGAAAATCATGATACCAATTCATCAAAGATTGAATAAAAAGCATATAGATTCTGATATTAAATAATTGAAGAATGAACTTATTATAAAATTTAAAAGTTGAGAATCGTCCCAGTAGTTCATGCACTTGTGAGCTATCATTTACAATGACTAAGCACAAAAGCGCCACACCAAACAGAGCTCTCCTTTCCTTCGCATATCAAGCCATCTCACAAGTCAGATAAATCAACCCCCCTTTAATATTCAATTCTGTGATATTCAGGATATGATCATACGACCAGTATCCCAACGAATACGACTCCCAATCTCTCCATTCCGCAACTTCCAATCTCGCACCATGACTTCCCACCCTCTCCCCAAACCCCTCATCCACTTTGGGAAATTCGAAGTCACGGATCAGGCAAGTTCTATATAAGAGCAAAGCTCAAATCTCAATGCAGAATTCTAGATTCCTAACTTCATCCAGGTCTTCCACAAATCCACCCACTGCTACTGTCTCGTAAACATCAAGCCCATTCTCCCCGGCCACGTGCTCGTAATCCCTTACAAGCACCATCCCCGCATGACCGATCTCTCACGTGCAGAGCTAGACGATATCTTTTCCACGACGCAGAAAGTGCAGAGAATGCTCGCGTCTTATTATTTTCCGGATCAAGATCTCACAGCGGGATCGTTTAATATAGCGATTCAAGATGGGCCGGAGAGCGGACAAACGGTACCGCATTTTCACTGTCATGTTATACCGAGGACCAAGGAAAGCGCGAGGATGGGTGATGGGATTTATGATAAGTTGCAGGGAGAGGAGGGGAATGTGGGAGGGGGATTTTGGGATAGAGACGCGCAGCTGGGGGAGAGACCGGCGCAGAAAGGAAAATTCCCAAGGGTGGATGAGGAGGATAGAGTGCCAAGAAGGTGAGTCTTGAGTTTGTTTCAAATGGTCTTTTGTTGGAAATTTGTTCTGGGCTTTGGATTCAAGTGTTTGGATTGTGATTTACTGACTAATATCTGATGGTGTAGTGCGGAGGTGATGAACCAGGAAGCCGCTCTTTTTAGAGAACAGATGCAAAAGTTGGGGTATAGTGAAGTGGAACAACTTGATCAATAGAAAGTTCTCAAAGTCGTAAGATTCCCAGCTAGATAATTAGATACTAATGTTTCCATGACCATTATATCATAAGATCTAGTGATCCCCTAAAAGTAAATACTCATTTGAAAATTTGCAAGATACAGTATCTATATACTTTCTCAATTCGTCGGCGGCAAAAATCACTTCTAGACTCTAGCTCTTCTGCCACTTATGCTTATGTTTCTGGCCCTATATTAGACCCCGTTCACGTAGATCACTCGTTCCACCTCGTCGTTTCGCCCATCTTCAACCTACAAACTCGCTACGACAACTCGCGGCGCTTAACGGACCCCGCTTTCCCACGATGAAATTGCTCCTCGTATATAATAAGTGGGATCCCATCATTCAACATGGCTCTTTTCTGAAAATTTATGTCAACCCCAAATCCGGAAATGATTTCAAGAGCAGACACGATTTCTAGAAATCGAGCATGCATCCAGATGATTCCGCGAGTGCGGCGCCACTGCTCTAATTCGTGGTGACGAATACTCCTGTCATTTTCGCCAGTTCTTTCGTATCTTTGATACACAAAAACCTCGGAATGTAGTAGCATCCAGATGAAAAGATGGCGAAGCCAGTCAGCCCTTACTGCGGCGCTAGCAACCGATGTTAAAGCGCATCCGCTGCTTAAGCTTAAATTGAGTTAACTAGGCCTTCGTGTATGCTTGGCGTTCCTTTGGCTAGATAAATGCATTGGAAAAACTCTTCTCGTGTTGTCTTCCTATGTGAATGTTTGAAAGTGTCCGATTCGACTGCGGGCTTTCAGTTCAATTATCAAGTCAATTTGACCACACTGTTGGGCAACACGATCGTCTATTCATTTCCTCCCGTGTCTACCTACACAGCTTATCACGATCACCTCAAACACCCGCCTCTTAAGTTCACCACGACCACCCCAAACACCACCCTCTCAACCACACCACCATCTTCTCACCCCCCACCCAGGAAATGCTCATCCCCTCCCTCCCAAACCCACTCCTCGCACTAATCATCTCCTCACTTCTCCCCCTTACCCTCGCGGTGCCCATCTGGCCCTACGACTCCACAACCACAACCATAACCATAAGCACCATCAGCATCCTCACGCGTCCACCCACCCATCCCAACCAAAACTACGAATACGCACTCAACTTCCCCACCCACAAATCCTGCCTCTCTTCCACCCCCCCCCCCCCTCTCTCCCTCCCCCTACCTCTCCGCCTTCACATCCCCATCCTCACCCTGCTCCACTCTCCCCACCAAATTCCACTGCTCCGATCGGCGAACTGGCGGATTACCAGCAGGAACAACAGGGGTATATGTAGTCGTTGAGTTTCTGCGCGAGGAGACAGAGTGTGTGATGCAGGCGGTGAGGGAGAGCATGGGGTTGGAAATTGGGAAGACGAGGTGTGAAAGAAAGAGGGGGATGTGTTTGGTGGATTTGGTGGTGATGGATTTGGTGGTGAGGGATACGAGGGAGAGGGATACGAGGGAGAGGGATACGAGGGAGAGGGATACGAGGGAGAGGGATACGAGGGAGAGGGATACGAGGGAGAGGGATACGAGGGAGAGGGATACGAGGGAGAGGGATACGAGGGAGAGGGATACGAGGGAGAGGGATACGAGGGAGAGGGATACGAGGGAGAGGGATACGAGGGAGAATGCTATAGCGAAGCGGGAGCGTGAGGACTTATATCGAGCGATATCGTATTAAGGAAAGAATGTCTAACTCCTCTCCTCTCCTCTCCTCACAAAGACAAAATTTCTCAAAGTACAAAAAACGAATATCCATACTCAAACTTCACAATAAAACCAAGACTACAAATTCCCCGAAGCTCATTTCATCTCTCACACTTATTTTTTAACTTCTATCTTTCTTTCTTCCTCCTTTCTTCCTCCTTTCTTCCTCCTTTCTTCCTCCTTTCTTCCTCCTTTCTTCCGACCTCCTTTCTTCCGACCTCCTTTCTTCCGACCTCCCTTCAAATTTCTAGAACTAATTAATCCATATAATACGACAACTCAAAACGCGAAACGACAACAATATCCAAAACAACATTAAAAATACCAATAAACCCAATAACCCCCACCATCCCATAAAAATCACATAAGAATCCCCTCAAAATCCCTTCAAAAGCATCAACATACTCATTATCGTAAATCCAATCAGCATTCCCCTAATCAATTTCCATCAACTAACAGGTACTCCAAGACCCGCTTTCAAGTACCGGTATCTATCTACCTTCCCCTCCTCACCCACGTTGAAACATTTGAAACATGTGATTGAGCGCCCCCTTCCCTATTCCTATTCTGCGCTTATCGATCGTGAAATGTTAAGTACCATCATTTCGTTGCCCCTCATTGATTCCGACATCAACTTCACCAGAAGAAATATGTCTGTCTGTCTACGTGCTGAGAATTTTGAGAGAACATGTCCTTAATCATTCTCCTACCTTAAATAGTTTTCAATCAAGTTCACCCCTTGGAGTCACCAGAAAACAAAGCAAAAGTCGATACTTTTATAAATCCTTTCTTTATTATGCACAGGTATACACTATGCTGTTCTAATCCTACAATGAACGTGGTATCTATCTAGTCTAAGTCTAGATCAACTTTTATTAAGAACGCCCTTCTAACCACCCAATGCATCTATCATGTCATATGCAATGCTTTCTTAAAGAATCCACCAACACCAAACCAAGTAAAAGAAGAAACGCCATCCAAATCCCTATTAAACAGGCGACCAACAGCCATCCTCCCTCTACACCACTACCGACCCTCCCTATTATCACCCTTCCATTGTATATTCAACATCTAAACACACCTACTTCAGTAATGAGAGAACATGCCTTGATGAATCCGGATCAAAGTCCTAGGTGAAAACCAGAAACTCATCAAGGTCAGTCCCTCAAAACCAAAGTAGGCGTATTTTCAATGTCAAATATACATTGAAAGGCTGAGTTCGAGCTGGATTGGTTGTGGCGTAGAAGGATTCAGACTGTTGTCCCTCAAAACCCAACAACGCAGCATGGTATCCGTTCGTTCACAAACATAAGTCGTTATCATAATACAGAAAACAATGCTTCCCTCATCCCATCCCCACGCCCCTCTTGGCCTACTTGTCGCTGCTTACTGTGACCTCAGGTCCAGCAATGACACTGAACTGACCTCCACAACCAGCAAAGGTAATCTTCTTGCCCTTGATGGCAGAGTTTTCGATGAGGGTAGGTGTCCTGGTGGTATCGTCACTGCCTAGACCAGTCCTGTAGTTCTCACCATATCCCCATGCCCATACTTTGCCGTCTTCTGTCAGAACAATGTTGTTATCGATTGCACCAGCTACAAAAGTGGCTGCGATACCAGGAACAACGGTTGGAACCTTGAGAATTGCTGGCTTAGAGGTGGTGGAGCTAACGATGAGAGAATCTTGGTCAACGCTAGCGAAATCAAGACCACTTTGACCTTCATCGCATCGTCCAACAACCAAGACCTCCTGCTTCTCAGTACAGGCAATTGAGTGATGAAGACATCCTTTAATTTGCTTGATATCAAACCCCTCAAATCCCTTAACAACAGTTGGGTTACTGATGATCGCATCATCTTCGCCAGCATTTGAGCCAATACCGGTCTGACCGTAATTATTCAAACCCCATGCGAGGACTTGGCCTTTGGTGTTGATGGCAAAGGAATGATAGGTACCTCCAGCAATCGACTTACACTTCTTCAAGACTGGTGTTGGAGTAAGTGCGGCGAATTTGAAACGGTTATTGACTCGTCTACCGAGCTGGTTTTGTTCGCACGCTCCCCAGGTGAAAACGGTTCCCTTGTTATCAAGTGCCATGATATGATTGCCACCACGGGCCAATGACTTGATGTTCTTTAATCCAGGAATGAGTATGGGCTCTACCTGGATCTGGAGCTTCTTCTTGAGATCACCGTCGCGTTCTTTGGCCGCCATTGACGCGCCTTCAGCAGTGAAACCGATGATACCATCATTTCCCTGTTATTGTTAGTCGACTTGAATCATCAAGAGCGTGGAAAAACAACTTACAATAAACGAACCCCAACCGTATACATAACCGTCTTCAGTGAGCACGAAGCTAGCAGAGTCACTGGCGATTACTTGAACAACCTTTCTTCCATCGAGGAAATCAGAAGAGATAGCCGTTGGGGTACTCTCAACTGGGTTGAGAACGATATCTTCCTCGTTCCCATCCTCAGAATCAGCATCCATATCTTTGGCCGGTGCTTCATATGAGCTAGTGTCACGACCCAAAGATCCTCCATCAGATACTCCCCATGTCAAGATTCTTTGATCATCAGTCAACGCGACGCAGTGCATACCACCGACAGCAACTTGGGTAACTCCTTTGAGGAGCGGGTTGTAACGTGGTCGCTTGACATTCATGGGTGCTTTGCCATCGATCTTAGATGCACCCAAACCCAATTCATTGTTTTCTCCACTTCCAAAAACATAGACATCAAGTCGCTCGGTAGGTGGAGTGTTGATGCTAGGGCCGATCTTGAGTTTCTTTGCAACAGGTAAGGCCTCCGATTCTTGAGTTCGACTTCTCTTTCGGCTAACGGCAGGCTTTGGTGCTGTAAACAAATGTTAGACGCGTTCCTAATATTATGCTCATTGAGTTATGAAAAAAGCTTACCTGGTGTTTCCTCTTTGTCACTTGTAGCACTCTCAACATCTTCCTCCTCCTCCTCCATCTCAGCATCCTCCTCTGGAGCTGGCTTAGACGCAACCTTTGATTTTTTAGGAGCTGGCTTCTTGGCAGTCTTTTTGGGAGCGGGTTTAGCAGCAGCAGACTTTACAGCCTTTACAGCCTTTGCAGCCTTTGTAACCTTAGCAGCGGCAGCTTTGGTAGTGGCAACTTTCTTCGCTGGCTTCTTCGTTACTTTTGATGGTTTTGGTGCTGTAGTAGCAGATGTGCGAGACGCAGTGGTTCGTTTGACGCCGACATTGGCGGGAGATGTTACTGCAGCTGCAGCTTTAGTTTTGCGGCTAGCCATTATTGGACCGAGTATCTTGTATGATTAATTGTTTTGTTGTACGAGTAAGGGTAAGGTGTATTGTATTGTTGATTCTTTGTATTGAAATGCGCAGATGGAAATACTTCAAAAGACGCGTCGCAAAATCGAAGAAGTAAAAAAGCTCGAGAGCTCGAGAATCTTCAAGAATCTTTCAAATGCAAAAGAGTAATCGAAAGAATCCTTTTGAATGTAACTGATTGATGGATCTTAAGAAGCTTGAAATACGAAAGGCAATTGCAATTCAAGAAGTAAGTAAGATGGTAGAAACCTTCAAAATTGAATTGAATTGATGATTGTGTGGGATTTGTGGGTGGAGGTGGAATTACTTATTATTACGAGAGATCGACATAAATAGATAGAGGGAAGCCCAGGGATTAACCACGCTAGACAGGACTTATCTGGTTAGCGTCGAAATGATTTTTAAGCCGCACCAAAATGAGAAACAATTTGACTCAACGAGGCGCAGACGTCATGATTAGTCATCGCACTCATGTATCACTGTTGTCTACTGTACTACTCGTGTATGATGTGGTACTGGGTACGTAGATAGTAGGTAGGCAGCAGATACTCGGTAGGTACAGACATCTCACTCCTCAGTCACCTAGGTAGATATATAGAAACCCGCCTTATTCTCATACAACTTGTCACACCTACCTCCCAGAAGTTTCAAACCCAGCACTTTCTCTCCATACATGAAAACATCATATCAACATTCACTCCTCTTCCCAACGACCTCTCTCATTGATGAGTAGCTAGGTAATGAATCTCCAAAAAAAACCCAGATATCTACCTACAACGCCCGTTATATCCTCCAAAGAAATCCACCAATCCGTCTAGCTACCTGTCTAATTCACACATCCATCCATCCATCCATCCACCCATCCATCCACAAGATCTTTCCCACCATCCAGAAAGTTCAAGCTACATGCTTACTAAAGTGAGTACATGAGTGTATTGTATGATAATACAGAATATATTGTGATCTACGATATCTGTTACTCAAAACCCCGTCATCCAGCCTACTATGACTATCTACCTACAGGAAAACTATATCATCATATCATGTCATAGCATATTATACCCTCCTCACACACCCTCCCCTCCCCTATCATCTTCCCTCACCACTACACCACTACACCACCGAACCACCACCTCCCCACTTCCACCTTCCAAACCCCATTCTGCATTCTGCATTCTCCATTCTTCATTCTCCACTCCCCACCTCTCATCCATAATCCACTTCGAACTCCACCACCAAGTAAGTCTAGATCAATCGAACTAGAACCACCTAGACATCTAGGCATCTGGACATCTCGATATAGAGAATTGTTAGGTACACACTGACGCCTTCAGCATATTGTAGATTGGATTGTGGTACTTCCGATTCACAGCAGCTCACATCCCAGAGATCAACCCAGGTCACATCACATCACATTTATAATTATCCAAAACAACTCCAATTCTCGCACAACTTTTCAAATTCTCCACGTACAACAACTCATCTCTAGGGTATCATAACATACACCCACAAAATACATATAATGAATGATTCTGATGCCCAATCCATCGATCCATACCAGATTCCCCAAATTGGAACCTCACGCTGTCTGTTTATAGCAGAATCGCGGACCCACCAAACCGCTTTCCGATGTCACCAAAGCCACCACCCTCATATCCTTCCCTTCTTCCTTTCCCATACCTCCATCCAAAGTTAAAACAAAAAGAGTGTGGAAATCATCCCTCATCCCTCATCCCTCATCCCCTCATCACAAACCATCTTCCAATTCACAATCCCATGCACCCATTTACCTGTTTGTTAACCCCTACCAAACACATCGCACGCGAAAAACAACCAAAGTCGAGGATATTGTAGCAACCAAAACGAAAAGTAAAAAATCAATCCCACGCCCCTAAAAGCAAATAGGTATTTCCTCTTAATATTCCCATGAATAGTCAAGCACGCAAGAAAGATCTTCTAAATGTCTTGTCTTCTGTTCGTCTCTGAGAGCGCCCGCATGCTTTTTCTCTTCACCTCAAAAAAGTTGGAGCACGGTAAACGCAAACAACACAAATAACAAAACAGCCCAAAAAAGAAAGAGAGAAGATCAAATTGGAAGAAGGAGAGATGAAAAACAATCAAAGCAGCAAAAAAAAAGTGGTATTTGGGGTATTGCGCGCCAGGGTATATATCCAGCCATTGTGTACGTCGAAATTGACATACTTAAAGACAATCTAGGAAATAAGGGAATAGTTTTGTGGATATCTTAAGAACGCGGTGGTCCAATTGGACCGGGGTATCCTGAGTTTGTAGAATTAGAAGTTGAAGGGCGACCGCTATCGGTCGAAGCTCTCATGCTATGTCTTGGTGTTGCATCGCCCGGATGCCCGTGTGGGTGCTTGTTGTCGTGGCTACTGCCACTGCCAGTTCCAAATTGGCGAGTTGGCCATGGTGAGGTGTCATCGTCCGGCAAGTTAACACCACTATCGTTCCATGGATTACGGTCTGCGTTGAAGCTTCGTGTAGACTCGATGGAAATCAAAGATGTCCTTGATGCATTACGAGACCCGTTCCTGAAGAAAGAACCGGCGGGGGATTGGGAGCTATTCTTGCGGCCATTCAAGAATGAAGAAATTGATGACATGCTACCAGGCTTGCGAAGCTTATCAAAAATGTTGCTCCTTTCCCTTGCAACGTCGTCACCAAACGAAGACTTGGTTGGTGAATCAGTTGCCATTGGTGCAGGAGCGTGCTGTAAGAGTTTAGAATTGAAAAATGGTAAGGATTCCTCGAATGAGTCGGACTTGGGACGAGGAATGGTTCCCTTGACAGTGGTAACTTCAATACCGGCCGCAGCAATGTTAGAGAACAAGAATTCGATTGCATCTCGAACTCCGCCTGCATTGTTTCTGGTAAAAGTCCAGAGAAGGATGACTGTTGGTTTACTATCCTCGGTAAGCTCAGAGGAATCTTCATCGACGTGTACCTCGACTACATATTGGGACTTGAGCTTTGGTACCATCTCTGTTTTGAATTCGTTGGAGCTCAAAAATGTCAAGAGCTCCGGAGTGCGAGCCAAAACAAGTTCATGACTATCTGGAACCATGCCAAGGAACTCGTCAACACAATGAGGAACTTGCCATTCTGGTCCTGAGATTGTGACATCATCACTAGCTTGCTCGGTACTTGGGAAAAGAACTTTACAGTTCCATTTCTTTTCCAAGTCCTCGATTTGATCAAGACGAGTCAAAAGTTCTCGATGGTACAATCGGTCAACATTGACAGTCTGAGAAGTGAATTCTGAATCAACCCGATCGACCATATCGAGGATTTCAGCTTTCACAAGCTCTAGGTTTTGAGCATTACGAGCTGGAGTTCGGCAGATAACATTGTCGGCCTTGATATCATCATCCTCACGATTCGGCCCACCACGATCCATGACATTGGAGAATTTAACAAAAACCGAATGCTTCTTCATGATTCTTTGAATGTGTTGACCACCAATGCCGATAATGCGCTTGTGGTATTGATCAGGAACATGGAAAGATATTTGGGCTGGCATCTCTTGCTCGACGAGGTTAAGGCCGGTAACCATTTGATCGTAATTGTTTCCGCAAACGTCAATGTTGAAGTTGTACTCATTGAATCCGTCAAATATAATTTGGACATTACCTAAACAACGTAATTAGTAACTCAAATGCAACAAAGCTTCGAAACCCTTACTTTGGCCCATGATCTTGTTAATCTTTCCATTCTTTTTGCCACTAACAAACTCCTTGTGCTCATTTGCTAGCTCAAGCTTGACTCGAATTTGATAGGCGAATCCTCGCTTGTTCAAAGGGATGTTGCTGATGATAGTCAACGCATCTTTGACAGCTTCGTCAGAACCAGTTATTGTCCATTGTAGCTTATCATATGTCACATCTGCTGAAGAATATGAACAGATATCTACCAACATTGCTCTTAACTGAGGTGGAGCTGGCTGTAGAGGTGGCTGATTTGGTGGTTGTTGGATCCACCACGACGCGCTGTAAAATTGTACTCCCTGCAAGTTTGTTAGTCGTAGCGAGGAAGCAACGGGGTTGTGTTACCTACCATCAGCATGAGCTCCCGGACTGTTCGTTCCACGTGGAGACCTTCAATTCCTTGGATTCTGATCATGCTACGTTGAGAAGCAAGAGCTGGGAACTGGATAAAGGTTCCGTTTGTCTCCATGATTTTACGAACCTTATCCATTCTGGTCAAGAGAATGCTGTCGATCTTAGCGGCAGTCACATGGGCATCTTTCATGAAGAGCCTCGTCATTCTAACAAGTTCATGGATTCTGCTTTTGGCTGCGGCTATGTTTTCTGCTCTGTCACCAGTAATGAATATCTCCTCGGGGTTTCGTCGCTGAGCACCCTCTGGACAATACTTGTAAACCTGTGAGAAAGGAGGTGGGAAATAGATAGCCGTGTTAGTAGAGGATTCGATCATCTTGATGTTCTTTCGGGATCGTCCACATATGACGGTGTGAAGGGAAAGCTCGAGAGATGCTACATCAGCTACGCGACCAAGCTAAACCAAAAAATGTCAGTATACAGTGTCACTTTGATTAACACACATAAACGTACTAGTCTGTCGATGTAGACCAATATTCTAGTCTTTCCGTGTTCAGCGCTCTCCATATCTCCATAGACTGCTATTCTCCAGCGTTGATCCCGTCCTGCCTCGCCATTGCTACTGAGTCCATCGGCCAACGAAGGAAATTTTGGGCCTAATAAGAATATATCAACACCGCAGAACGCGGCGACTTTGTCCAAATGTTCAACGACAGATTGTCTCAAGCCTGAGACCGCGGAATCAATAATCAAGTCTCCGTCAACATCTATGACTGCACAACGCTGCATTGACGTTAGTACGTTGTAATCACTGGGGACAGCAGCATGAATCATACCAAGGCGATAGGGGTATCATTTAAGATCGTTTCTCTGCTCTTGTG